CACACACACACACACACACACACACACACACACACACACACAACATTCATTTAACGCAAAGATACTCGTGCTAGTTGGGGTTGCTTTCCGTGAGACAATCGCCATATATCTATCGCTGTAAACGCTGAGAATGTGTTATCTGATCCCCTGACCTTTCGGAGCATTGTTCCTTCCTGGGTGATAATGATAAGACACCCCCCTCCCTTCCCCTCGCATGGTGGCGGTAAATTCACCCTTACAAACAAAAAGATGGGTAAAAGTCAAAAGTACAGTTCGTCATGTTGACACTTGACTTGACTTGAGCCCTTCATTTGGAACATGTATAAGTTTGATTAATTAAGTTTAAACCGTTTTTCACAAACGTTGAAACGATGTATATCACAGCGACCTACGCGTGGCCTCACCACAGACGTCATGGAGGCCCAGGAAGTGCGTAGGAGGTCAAGTACGTTCTGAACGGAGGACTTCAGTGTACCCTTACCAGAGATTCTCTACTAGAGTCTAGAGACAGAGAATCTTTGCCCTTACCAAGGCATCCACAAATGAATCCGTTTACCAATGGTGATGCATCGTGATGAAATCAGGCGCTCGTAAGAATTGCTGAAATCCGAGAAATCGGCCTTTTTCGGCCAGTTTGGGAAATTATGTTTTCGAATTTTTTTTCTTTGGCTCAAAACCCTTTATGTCCATTTTAAAAAATCATTTCTGTGTGGATGTTACAGAAAAAAAAAAGGTCGTTAAAGGTACAAAATCGTAAATGTTCAGTTTTCAAGGACTCTCAAACTATGGAAGTCACGTCATTACTTTGGCGGCCATTTTCTCACTGATTTTACTTCTGAAATCAGGCGACCCGCACCTCCTTCAATCACAAATATTTCGACTTCTATTCAAGATAGATGGATTTTTTTTCACCAAAGGCAAGGCAAATAAACAGGCTTTAGGATGATACCAATGACTCCAAATGCCCAAAAATTGACGAGCGCCTGATTCCATCGCGTAATGTACATAGGCACAATATCCTGTACAGTTAACATTTTTTTGTACCTCTGTTGAAAGCTTTCGGGCTGCATTAATTCTCATTTTCTCTTACACGTGCCTGCGATGTTGTTTTGGGGAGTTTTTAAGGCTTTCCACATTTGGCTCGGTCCTGGCGGAAATTGACGTTAAATGTTGAGGTTGAAAGATACGTTAAACCTATTATGCACGTAGCGTCTGGTTTTGCTTCAATTTGGGCGATGGGTGTTGCCGTTGTGGCCCCAGACTATCTTACTAGCAAAATGTTACTGTTGCCATATAAGGTGGAGGGGAAAGGGGAAGGGGGGAAGGGTGGTTTTCTGAGATGCAAATAAAGAGTTTAAGCATATAAATAACATTATGTCCTCTTAAATCTTACACGCATCTGAGATTGAGCTTCCTTTGAAATATTTGTTCCAAGTTTGAAATTGATCAGATAGTTTGGTATGTTTTTGAACGGAACAAGTCAGTTTTCATTATGAGTCCGAATT